GCTGAAGGTGCCAGCCAACGTAGGCGATAAATTAGTTAGGGTGTGTTAGGTTTTACGCTAATTATAACTAGGTTTTGAATAGATATAAAGATATTTTATTTTGCGAAAGCAAAACAAAGGTGGTCTTTTTGTAATTAGAGAATTCACTTGTCGGCGAGTTCTGAAATGGACTTGAATGCGATTGAGAGAAGCATTTTCATTCCCATTCGGAAGGCCCTGGTTATTTTATTAGTTGCGCATGTGGCACGGCGAGCCTGTGCGGCCGAAGAGGTTTCGTTTCGAAAAGTGAGTGGCCACTTTTGGTGGAGGTATGCGGTGTTTGTTGCGTTGCCTTTGACGCCTTCCGAGAATCCACCCAGCCCAAATCTACATTCGGAACGCCAGAAGCGAGCGACCGAACTGCATTCTTTTCGATACGCGCCGGCACATATGATGAACTCTACGGGACCACGAACTTTAAAACGACTTTGCCTTCTTTGCCATATTTGGCCCTTATAACGTTACAGATATCATCATAATAATCCCCACAGTGAGATTACGCTCAACATAAAAATTTTGCCAAAAAAATAGGAGAGAAATGTGCCCGTTATAGAATATTTTTCATGTCGGTAAGCAGCGTGCCTTTCATTTTCGTAACATCGCCATAACATGAACGATTCTTTCGGCGAACGCGTAGACATGCAAATGGCCCTCTGCGGCGACGTTGACGAAATGCTCGCGAGCCTCGCAATGGAATGTTCAATTTAAATAACGTGATTTGTATGCGATGCGTGCGTTTTGTAATCTTGCATAATGCATATTTGTTTTTTAGTTTTGTTAATAACCGTGAAACAAATTTGTTGTTGTACGAACAAATTCTAGACCCGCCGCGGTCACTGTTTTCCTGTTAGCTAGGAAAATGAGGAAAAACACTCGCGCATGCAGTCGGCAAGGATAGTAAGGGTGGGTGTTGGGGGAAATTTGGGGGAATGTTTGGTGCATGCGCTTTGCGACAAGGATAACTTTACTCTACAGCATATTCTGTTCGCCTGATTCAAGTTTCCTTCAAACCGAACTTTCACGCAATTTCTGGTACTAGAAAGGACATTCCGAGTCCTTAAAACAATCAGAGTGAACGCCCGCGTTTCCGGAAGTCGGAGCGATACGTGCATGATCCTTGAGGAATGTCGTCATTTCGGTGTCGAAAACACCTCCGAGTCGTATCACCTAGCGGCAAGCAGGAAGTGCGGAGACAGGATCGCATGCTGCGCAGCAGGCGTGTGCTTTCCACGTATCGACCCGGGGGCAGTGCTGCCGCCGACGCAAACAAGGGTGCGGCGTCATTGGTGGGGCGGCTACGCAGGTCTAATCCAATAACAGAAGGGTGGCAGTTGTAGTGGATTTAATAAAGTAACAGGAAGCAAGCTAATAGGTAGCGTGCGCTCGATGAAAAACAGGATGTATCTTTACGGCCGTGTTTTTCACGTCTCGAAATGTGCTGTAACAAGATGGAGAAATTAAAAGGAATTTCGAATAAAAACGAGACGCCGCGATGTTTCTTGTTCGTACGCCTGAATTCTTGACTCGTTGGCACGTTGAATGCCTGGAAACGTGTTGAGCTTTGTTGAATGGTGCGATGGTACCGCCTTTGGCAGCCGCGAGTGTCGGGCACCCTTTTTAAACGGTTTTCGAATTATTTACTTGCAAGCGAACGAGCGCGAGCGCCTGTTGAGGCGCTTCTTTTGAGTCTCGTTTCGGCGTGAACGCCTGGCGCCTATCGCTCGCGCTCGCGGCCCTTGGGCAATCTCTTCGGCCAGCAGCCGACCAGCAGGGTGTCGATGGACCCGGCGCAACACTCACACACACACTACCAGAGTTCTTTCTTTGAGGAAGAAGTACCCAGCTCACGCGCGCATGCATTCACACACAAAGATCGATCATAAAATGTTAACACTCTGGGCATAATTTCGAGTGTAATTTGTACGTTTTGTTTTCGGAACGTGTAAACTGCTCGTCGGCGTAATAAGATTATCGTTTCTCATTCCGCCGCGAAAATAGAATGTCCTTTAACTCTTTGAAAATGGCAACTAATTATTTTTTTCTTGCTGTTGTTGTTTTTGCTTTGGTAGAGATATTATTGGTTTGTAATGTAATAAAATTTAACAGCTAAGATATTTCGCGGAGGAGTAGGTACAGGATCAATCGAGATACGCGGAACTCGTTATTGGTTCGCCTTGGCATCGTGCATTTTTCGGGCGCGCCGTGGCCGAATACCGATTGTCCGGCCGAGCTTAATAGCCAATAATAAGCGCGAACGATCAAACGCGCCGAGATAGCTCGCGACTCGCCCGGGCTCGATTCGGCATGGAAATTATTAGGAAAGGTGAGAACACGCCTCCTTAAATCGATCACCGGAGTATATCATTATTTTAACTCCACACAAACGCACATGCGCATATCGCGAGATATTGTAATCAGCGGCTGTTGTTCATCGTTATAAAACAATCAATGGCTTTGAGGTTGGGAAATCGCTCGGGAGGCAATAAAATAGACATTTTATTTCGTACGGTTCTAGTCAATAAAGAGTTTTTACATGTAAATTTGATAATTATGTCTGATGTTATCTGATTTTACTAAAAAACAATGAAAAAAAATTATTTGAAGAATTTTCTTACATGTTTGTTTGATTATTTCGTTTAAAATGTTATATTATCAAATAGTTCGTGATGGAGATATTAACATTTGAGTATAAACATTTTTCCGAGATGTTTGAAAAGGTTAATCACAAAATGTTCGTAATAATAATAACACTACCGTGATATACTGATGATGAAGTAAGAAAATCCAAGCCGGCGAGCGGAATCGATGTCTTAATTTAAGACTGCCATGAAATGCGTGTTTTAATAATACGCATCGGGTTCTAAGGTTGTGCAGACGCGCGCCTGTGTTTATAAAATCATTAGCCGCGCACAATTTTGGCGTGATTAAGTGATTGTGCAATGTGTATGTGAGTGTGTGCTGTGTGCCTAATTAATAGCTGCTTATTGCGTTGATTCCGCGCATTGTCTCTCGAACCTAATTTATCTACGTTGCATTATAAATCGAAATGGATCCAGTCGTAATAAAATGTGCATTGTGCTTGCGCATGCTTCGAATCTATCTGCATCTCCTGTTCCTGTTCGAATCGGCGTGCGCACTCTTTGATAATAATTTCTTCTTGTTAATCGGCAAACGTTCTGCTCGTAGCGCGATGTAACGCCAAGAAACTGCCAGGAGAGCGGCCGAGATGGGTAATAACTGTGTGAAGTTGCGCGCATCATATTTCTCAGCCCAGAAAAGACCCGCGATATACAAGTGGTGTGAATGGCGCGCCGGCGCTGGCTGCAGTCGATGAAGACGGAAAACGGAAGAATACGAATTTATTTGCAGTTATTCAAACGCGTTGCGCGCGCCGCTAATTGTGCGCGGTGAGGTATTTTCTACAAGTTTCGCATCCATCGATAAATAAATGACATCGATGTGCAATTGTCCATTAACTCTCTTGACGTTCACGTCGAATTACATACAATTCATTCATTTTCACAAAATCAAAAAGAAAACAAATTTTATTTTATTTTTAACATGAAACTACTAAAAATATTTGGTATACATTGAACGAAGCAAACTGGCGAGGAAAGAATGTACATAGCTTGACGCTGCTCTTCTTCGCATTCACATTCGGTAACCAAATACAAGTTATCTCAGCCAGCTGAGGCTGAGATGTGTCGTGTGCGCCTTGTACAACGCAGCAGTGAAAAAGCTCGTGCGCAGCATCCGAGCAGCGGAGCGCTGCAGAAGGGTCAAGTCGGCTGTGGAATGTGACCAGTCCTACCTTGACCAGACGTCGTAATCTCACACCGTTAAGGAATGCGCTCGCTCTCTATGATTTGCACCTGTAGGAACGGTGGGGAGCACGCGTAACCAGCATTGAGAAACATCAGAATGTGAACAAACTCAAATATGCGCATTACAACATTACGCCATCAACATTTAAATAGCTACTGCGAGGGTTTCTGATATTTTATCGGTTCAAAGGGCTTTCCTAATTATCTTTTCAACTTTTTTCTGTTAATGGATCTAGTTCAATGTGCGCTTGGAGACGTCCTAATCGCTTACAAGTATGATTTATGCTTGGGTTAATTTTTGGATGGCCGACTGAGACGTCGTCGTGAGAGTGCATGCGGTGTACTTCTATGAAGTAACATTCTAATTGATTTATGCACATTGCATTCCCAGTCAGTCGCTTTACGCATCAGTAAAGTGTGAAAAACCCATGGTTGTTGTCGGTGTGTGTCGGTGTATGAGATTTTTTTTTAGGTTTTATGTTGGTAACTATTGATACGCATTGATTAAGAGGCCGACCGGCAGCGAGTTAATACGCGTTGCGTGCGCGAACGCAAAGGATGCGGTTTAAATGCGCCATATCCACGGGAAGTCGGCCTTTCCTCAATTTATGCGCGGCTCCCCACACACATCGTCACACAATTCGTGTCTGCATGCGGCGCGACCAGCGCTACCGCCCGAATAGCGCAAAATTGTGAACATAACCTTTGAACGAATCAAATAAAATGGCGCCGCCCACGTTTACGACATGTTTAAGTTTAATGTCTAATGCATATGCAGGAAGAGACCGACGGTGGGAAGCATGAAAGTCGGCTCCTCAATTAATGAATGTTTCTCGAATTCAATCCGTTTTGTTAATTTGCGTTTGGGTACCACCAGCTTAGCTTGTCTCTCGGATGAGAGACAATGTCTGGACCACAATGTGTGCGGTGCGGAGAGTAAAGGAAGATGAGAGTGCGTGGAATGCATTATGGCGATGTGCGCGGGGTAGAATGGTATGACTTCCCAGAAGCCGGCCGCCGCAGTGAACACACACACACACACAGACATATACACTGGTCGGACAGTTAGAACGACATGGGCTTGGGTCGACGGTCGACGACCTCAGGACACCCTGAATCCTTGAAAATTACGAATCGTAAAGGATTCAATATCTAGCATTTTATGAACAAGTCTCTTATGTCACACTGTAATAAAACTTTGCATGAATACGATGATAATTATGTTTTTTTTCTTGTTTGCAGAAATTTGGCTATTGGTATCGGCATACAGAATTTTCCAGAAGGACTTGCAGTGAGTCTACCACTTCAAGCAGCTGGTTTTTCAACATGGCGAAGTTTCTGGTAAGTGTATTATTCTCCGTCCCACTTTCTCGACGATTCGTTGGCGCGTCCTTCTCGCTGGTATAGACCTCCATTAACGAATTCATCCATTCATAAATATTTCAATCGCCGCGGCTAGAATGCCTAGTTACCAAACAAGTCTTTGTCGCCTCGATTCGCGGAATATTTCGCGAACTGGCTGCGCTCCTGCTGCGGCCGCTCGAATGTGGATATATCTGCAAACAACAAACTGATTTAATTCTAATGCGGTGGAATGTGTCGGAATGTCACATTAGTTTTTATTTTATTTTTCAAAAAAACGTCAACGCAACAACAAAAACAGATAAGGTTTTGTGTGGTGTGTGTGTGTATATGTTGTATGTGTGTGACCTCAGCGAAATCAGGTCAACGACATTAAGCCGGCGCACGTCTCGATTCTTCTTCACACACAGGCATCCGTGTGCGGAGCGATCGTATACTGATGTATAAGGTATTTACTACGTTTGGAGGCGATCTTCAAAATTGTATGAATGAAACCCGTGCGGCCGCTGCGCGACTGCGGCTCGACCTGCCTGCGCGCCTTCTTGATAAAGGCAATTTGCCTTTGGAGACAAACGGAGCGCACGTTACGCAATCCGAGTGTGTGTTCATTGATAAACTGTCGCCTGTATACGCAACGCTGTGCTCGCGCGAAACAATCTCTCTCGAGATGATGATGTTGGTGTTGTTTTTATTTATTTTGTTTTTATTTTTTTTCGATTTTGTTTATCGCGCGCGCCTCGCAGAGACAAACAGAAATGTGTTGCGTTCGGCGTTCGCTTTGAAAAATATCTAATGCTAGCCTCGCGCGAGAGTTCGAGAAATCGAGGAGATCAATTCGAATCCGAATGAAATTCCATTCGGCATTAGAGGTTAACCAGTCGATTGCATGAGCTCCATTCATGCGCATTCCATGCTGCTGAATCAACATTATTTTCATTTGCGCAGCGCGCAAGCTCGCTCTCCTAAGCCTGCTTTGCGCCTGGCCCTCGATCCGGCCGTTTTGTATGTGTGTTAATTATGTAACATACGCACATGACGTGCAGCAGTACATTGCTGTGGTGTTTTGTTTGATGCGCCGTGTGCATATATTTATTTATTATTGTCTTTGCATTCTTGACGAAATAATGAATATCACGAAAAGCTCATTCTGCGAGGAGTAATAATGATATTGATGCAAAACACAATTTATTTCAAGTTGCAACCAAGCTAAGTAAATAAGTTATTTGCGAGTTTAGATTGATGTTGGTAAATGAGTTAAGTTATGTATTGCTATTTATTTAGGTAAAGTTATGGTCGGCATGGAAATATTACGCCGAGTGTGCATGAGAATTGTGAGTTACTGGCTAACAGTCGTCGATTACATGCCGTGCCATGGCATACCATGCAGTGCCAGTTAGATATTTGAATTTTTCTATTGAGCGTTTGCCTATTTAGGTCATGGATAATGGCATTGTACGAAATGATCGAATCCACGCTTTAATATTTTATCTCGGATGGCAAACTGTGCTTTTAATCAACACAGGACGAGACGGTAGGAAATTTCATTGATATTTGCCTGAAACTTCATCAATCACGAACAATTTACTGTGATTTAAACTTTTTTGGCATAGAAAAGTTTCTTTCGACGATTGTAGGCAACCAGACGTTCATTTAATATAGGCAATTGGCATACATTTTCAAATTTCTTTCTCTTTTGTTTTGTTTTTGAAGTTTGTAGTTATTCATCAATTTGTAACATTTTCAAGTTCTTCTTTGTTGAAATTTTGTGATTCCCTGCAATTTTCTTTAACATAAATTCAAAATCATGTTTTTGTGTAAGTTATACCTATTTTTTCCTAACTGTAATTATTGTTGCCACATGTCGAACGGTGTCGCACAGTTGCGAAATCAAACCACATCGAAAATGTAAACAAAACAAGTTTATCAATGAAACAATTTCATAATATGCGTCAATACATTAGTGCGTTGTATTCAATGTTTATAAAAGAGTCGCGGTTTCATTAGGGCATGCTGCGCGGAACGCAATTCAACAACCGAATCGATTAATTCACGCCAAGCAGTCAGTGCGCGCGCGCCGCACTTTTGTGTGCGTACTTGATGACACACCATGTAATTAAACAATTATTGTATTTACACTCGGACATATACTTATGCGCGCGTCGCCGTTATCTTCTATTTCAATTTTCATTTAACATTTATCGCCGCCGATTTGAAGGAGCCACGACGACGCAATCTTCTACGTGTTGCTCGTTGACTGTGCGGAGAGAGGGGTCTCGCCGATGGTGTTGCTTGCTGTATTACAGAAAACCACAAGGCGGCGAGGGAGAGAGCTTAATGAGCGGCGAACGGCCTTGCAGGGTCGCAAAACATGTACATTAATTTTATACGTTGCGCATTGAACATAAACATTTATTAGTATTCAACAACGCACATGCATGCGATCGGCGATAGGAGTTTATCTCATATTCGTGTTAATTCGATCCCGACACTGATTCCGCGCATATTTTCGTGCGTGCCTACAAAGGAATGTCGGAAATTTAATGCATCGCATATCGACGTAGAGGTTTTGAAATTATTTAAATTATTTAACTTGTTGAGTGAATAATTGCGTGATATCCACCGAGTGAATGCGAAGAATGTCTAAGTAGTGAGAAAATTATTCTGTTTAAAACAAATATTCCGAATTTGAGAATGATTTTATTATTTATCGATATATTTCGATTAGATTCCAACAAATTTTCTAATTCAACATTTGTCATTAATATTTGCATATTAATGCACCGTATTAAATGGAATTTCGATGCGTATGTGTGTGGTTAATTTATTAACACTCTCTGCGTCCGTCTGCAGCGAGCCTAGTATCGTTAATTAATATTTAAATAGCCGATACATTTGTATTAGAAATTCCTTCTCTTCTCTCTAAATATGAAGTGCGTACCGTCTACCGTGCCGTCCATCCGTGCCGCGAAGCACACATATTTATTAAGCATTCAAGCATGTTCTAGCTTTAGTTCTTAGCTATATAGCCGCTGACTCTGACTCGGAGCCAACTAACGACGGCGTCCAAAGGAACCCGGAACTGAAAGTATCGAAATGACTATTGTTGAAATCCACTTAATGTATGTTACTGCCGACTAGAGCTGGACAGGACCGCGCGCTGCGCTCTCTGGTGCTGGAATCAAGCGTGTAATAAACGACATACTTCGTATGGAAATACACACGCGGATCGCACATCTGCGGCGGCAGAAATCGCGCCGCCACACGATAGAAAAAGATTCGAATTAGTTATGCATTGTCGTTTAGGCCATGCGCAAACGCGATGCATGATAATTAACGATTGCCTGCTACCAAACTCGACCCGCAGATGGCGTTCAATGGAAAGACATATGGCCGCCGAGCGGCCGGAGCGATCAGTGATCATTTTTTAGGATAAAAATATGATTTCAATTAACTTTTCAATACGGAAGAATAAAATTTTCTTCGCTTTTGCGCTGAGCTGAGAAATGTTTTCTTTTTATGATTGGCAGCACAAATGTACCTACCTACGTTTATTTTCTTCTCGAGTGGTGACGATGAGTGAATGGAAAAAAGCGTTGGGAGCACTCGGAGTGCTGTTGTCTCGAAGAGAGTTGAGCAATTTGGTATCTTGATGGACTATCGAATTGCTGACCGCATTCCTGTACTTTGTTGCGAGAAAGAAAAAGAAGTTTTCTAACGCAGTTGAAACGCTGTGAATGTTTACGCTTTGAAATGAAATAATTTCGATGCAATTTCTTTGCTTACAGGTACGGACAATTGAGCGGAATGGTGGAGCCGATCTTTGGAGTCCTTGGCGCTGTGGCGGTGGCGCTGGCGACGCCTGCACTGCCGTATGCGTTATCCTTCGCGGCAGGTGCGATGATCTACGTCGTTGTCGATGACATTATACCCGAAGCCAACACCAAGTAAGTCTAGTACTAGATTTTCTATTTGAATCACGTTCAAATAGTTTTTTGCTGCTTGAGACACACGCGTACGTCGAGAAAATAAGATATTTTTTCGGTGTTTTTGGTGCGCGCGCGCTCGCGCTTTGCAGCAAGTCTATGGGTTCAACGGCGTGCAAGTTTAGTTCAGGTTGGTAATGATACATATAGGCTGCGCGCATTGTACGCGGAATGCGTAAATATTTGATGATTGCGCAACGAACTTGCGGCTCGTTGCCTGGCTGCGAACATGACTCGAACGGCGCATTCCGATGCGTGCGCTGTGCACTGTTAAGACAACCGAATGGGCCGACTGAAAAAAGCAAAAGGAGGAAAAGAAGAAAGGCTCTCGTCGATGCACACACACGGGCATCGGACACTCGCGAGCCGCCTTTCCTTCGAGGAGCTGCAGCATCCAGCAGCAGCAGCAGCACTCACCTCGCGCCGTCGTAAATTTCACCGCGGCGTTTTTGGCCAGCGACTTTTTATAGCAGCCGACAAAACGCCGCAGTAGTTGCACACGCATAGCAAACGAAAGCGGCAAACAATAACATTCGGGGCCCACCCGTATTTTCGAAAATAACGAAGTCGTTTTCGGTTTTTAATGGTGGCAAATTGCGTGGAATGCGGAATCGGCGCTCGGTCGAGCAGCTCTCCTAAATGTTGATTCGTTCTGTGCGCGACTCGTTAATGAATCACGCTTCATTGCATAGTTTGCCTATTGTTTCATATAGCTAGACGCAACAATCGCGAATAATCAGATGCGAATGATGTCGTTATCGTCCACGAAATTCCCGCTAGGGATTTTAATCGCTTTCTGTCATTAGCCTGTCCGGGTATCTCTGGAAAAAACAATCTGGGAAATCTTTGCGTTCTCGCTATGCTCACATGTGTTTTACCCAGCCGCTGCGCTGCGTTCGATGAAATCATTACGATTTAAACGCCCACAAGTTGTGTTACATTCGCTCATAACCATTTTATGTTCTCTCTGTGACTAAAATCGCCGTTTTACACACTTGTTGTACAAATACGAGTAGTATTCGTTGTTTTCTTTTTCGGATCGGTGGCTGTCTAATCCTTTGGAGTCTTTCGTCTGACGCGTCGGATGTGTGCTTTTTTACCGATGGCGGAACTTGCGCGCGAACGCCAATAAGCCGTTAATAAATAAGTGGATCACCGAGCGAGAGCAGCACAAAATTCCATTCCGCCTTCTCTTCGTCGGCATACGTAATGCTCTTTGGCTGCGGCGGCCACACTGGCACACACAGCATGCACGAATACACGCACTTCTTATGACATTGAAGAAAAGAATGCAGGATGAATGCCGGCGCGGCGCGCACACTTCAGGCATTCATTCGGACGTTAATCAACAGCCGTATGGGTTCGTACTCATTAGTCCTGGTGGCCGTACGTAAAACATCTTGTTCATGGCAATCGTGCTGGCGAGAGTAGGTAAAAATGTTTCTGGCATTTCATTTGTTTTATGTTCCAAGACTTACGTAATGTTTGTCTATGAATCAATGCAGTCACTTACAGGTATGACAGTATTGAAAGGAATTGTTGGTGATGTCAGAAGTTGGGCTTGCGTACAGAACGGAAATACTACCCCCGATGTTTGTTATGTATTTCCTGGCATGACTTTACATTCTTGCGACATCAATAGCAATGTTGACGTTGTTTCGCTGGCATTTCTCCGTATTTTTAGCGAATGCATTTTCGCGAAAATCATTGATAGCGGTCTCATGTTCGTAATCGATTCAAGGAATGTCTATATGTGATACTGTGGAGTATTTGCATGTTATGATAGCATGATTCACGATAAAATCGTAATTTATATAGCTACCAACTTATGTTTCCACAAATGTTTTATATGATTCACTAGCATTGATGTTAAAAATAATTCATTTGCAGTGGCAATGATGTATTGATTCTTGATAATTCTATTTTCATGTTGACGACGCATTATTGGCGATTGTTGAATGAAATCATAGGGTTCATCATCATGAGTAATATGCATAAAATGCGCCGGCCTTGTAACTACTGTGTCACTACTTTTAATTTTATTGCAAATACAAGATTTTCTCATTATCTGCTAAAGAAATCCTTATTTTAGGCGTGTTGCTGTGGCAATTACGATAGATTTTTGGAACAATAGCTTTATTATCTTTACAGTAAATTTATCCTAACAACATCATTTTTAATATGTTTGACTGACTTATTAAACGTGTATTATTAACTCGATGAAGAGTGAATATTTGACAAAACGGTACACCGAAACCTCTTTCAATTCCAAAACTATAAATTACGCTCGCTGGAATTATCGTATGGGTCGGCTTGTCCAACATCGTTAACTATGTGATGATGATAGTGCTTAAACGAAGCTAACAAATATAATACGAAAATTAATCATAAGACGGCAGTAACAGTAGTTGCTTTTAAACAATGGGATGCGGTGTAATATAAAAATGTGTACCTATGAAGGAAAAAAGCGCCCGCACTGCCGAAAAACATCTCTTCCTGGCTGTGTGCGTGTGTGCTTTAAATATAATAAATGGTTTGCGTACCATTCATAGAGAGGTGTACACGTAACATTAAAATATAGTACCGAGTGGGACGCGCTGCCAAACGGTACGCTGTGTTCGTAAATTAATTTAATTGTTATTTCAACGATTTTATTTTATTTCGAGGCTCTGGTTGAGAATGTCGTGCCCGGTTTGTTACTCCAAATCGACCCGGCTTGATTATAGGGTTGCTGTAGTGCGGACGTGGTCGAAGCTACTAGTTAGCTTCCTTTAATGACATATTTAGTAACTCGCATCGTTTTTATTTGCGTGTTAATTTAATAAACAAGCCGTCGATGTTTTTCATTGATTTTTTTCTTTGTGTTGCTTTGTTTGTGAAATTATCTTTTGTAACTAGATTCTATGCAGTGCGATGTGTTTGATTCGATGAACAAATTCGTATTTGACGATTTTGAGTGAGGTTGGTATGCCGCGCCGCCCCCTTTTCGAAACGCATTTATCAGCGCAGAAGCAGACGGTGGCTGACAGCCAATTCGGGCACCAATATGAATGATTCTCAGTTCGGCTTCTTCTCGAAGTCTCGAAAGAAGAACTCGTAATGTTTATTTATTGTGGTCGGGCAGCGTTCCAAACTATTATAGGAAAATTATTGAGGAAGTTGATATTTGTGCGAAATATAAAAACAACTCTCGGCTGCTGTTGGCATGCGCATGTGTTGCGTGTGTTGGAGTTGTGTCTGGCTGCTGCTGGCTGGTTGCTACAGAATAGACGAAACGAATTCGAAAAATACCAATTTTCGACATACGTATACAAACAAATAGCTGACCGGTCGCGACGCGCGGGCTAAGCGCGTTCTATTCCTAAATCTAGGTCGCAGACGGACGACTCGGTAATCTCGCGACCGAATTCGTACGTCGTCATTTTCGTATCAACGTTTGAAATATGTATTTTTAAAAGAGACGCAAAAAATACCCTTCCAATGTGCGCGCGGACAATTTGCCTAAGCTTTTATTGCACATTCGCAGAGGACGTTGATTTATCGCTTTCTTGTTAGCGACAAATTTATTTTATGTACTTGTGTAGGATAACTTATTCAATTTAGATTTCACAATGTAATCTTTTGTTTGGTTTCAGTGGCAACGGAAAATTGGCGACATGGGGCGCAGTTGTTGGTTTCCTCGTAATGATGACACTCGACGTCGGATTGGGATAGTATTGGCACTATCTGCATGCGACAACTTGCAGACGTGTGAGACGCAGACGTTAATATGATTTTAAATTATTTTAGACCTAAACAGTCCAGAAATTGACCCAAGTAACCTATTTTATGTACCTTATGTCGTGTTCTGATCGTCGTTAGTTCCAGTTTTAGCCACACACTCAAACACATCCAGTTAATTACTTAAAACGGTTTAGTACACTTTCTATTTTCATTGGGCGATTATTGCGCCCGTGTTCACTGAGATTCGTACCGAAGAAGTATTATCTGTACTTATAATACCTTCGACCCTGTGTCCAATAGGATAACTTTCCAAGCCGCACTAATAACGTTGTTCATTGTCAATAACACACAACTGTGATATTAGAGAAGCATTAATATACATATATCTATGTAGGCTATAATAATATTGACGGGAATGATGAGATTTAATTGTATCTATGGAACTGTTTTATAATAAATAAAACGGTGGAGATTTTAATTTCGGATTTATTTCGGGAGGTCTTCAAGAGATGAAGATTACAGGATTTCATTGGAAGCGTGAAGGAAAGCAGGAAGAACAATGGACGAAGGCACTAAGGAATTTGGCATTTTTCCAAATGTAAATGGCTTTGATCTACTCTAGCGGCCACTAAGGTATGTGGTCCTTTCTTGCCCAAGACGACGCTTCCGCTTGAAATCCGAGAACCACCTCGGGTGTATTTCTGGAATTTGAAGGTGCAGTCGGAATTTTTGGCCGCTTCACGCGATTTCTCCAATTTTAATCAAATAATATGAATATTTTATTCATAATATACAATAAAAATTACACAAAAAAATATTCAGCTGATCAACACTGTTGCAATTGATTTTTACGTGTGATTGCCACTGGAATGCTTCGTTTCTAATACGAGCTAATGACTGCAACAGGTACGCGAAGTAGTTTGCATCTTAGTTTTTCGCAACAAACCTCGCTTGGTGTTAAGTATTTAAACGAATCAACTGCACTTTGTATGCACACACACTACCACATCGCACCAAGCGGCGCAACGGCGCAGAAGAATGTAGATTGGCGTACCGAAGTGCTGAGACGTGATAGAATTTGCTAGAAATGCACAACGCTGTGCATTGCCTCGCTTGATGTGAGCCCCGGACCGTTGGATACACACCTAGCCGAGAAGCCGAGCTTGTTCTCCTCGTCGAAGGATTACAAAGTTGTGTGTGCGGTGAAGATGGCAATGCGACTTGCATTCCACTTCAGCATTGAAATTCTTTCCGCTTGTGTTTGTTTCTTATCTCTGCTTGGCTAAGTTGAAAAATTCGGAAACGAAATGACTTAATAGTTGGCCGCAAGGTAAGATGGTAATGAAATCGCACGTGGGTGCGTTGATTGCTAAGCAACGCGGGAATTCCCGGCAACAGTTTTACGTACTCATTCCAGGAACAAACAATTGTGCAACGACAACACAATACGTACGCCATTGCAAACGTGAGTGAAATATAAATTGGAATATTTATGGTGTACATACATACTTCGTTTCGATGAGTCAGCAGTGTGCCTTGTTTCAATATAACTGTAATAGTGGATGACATTTTTTCTAGTGAAGGCGCCACATAATTCTTTGCCTGCTAGGGAATTAATTCCCATGCTTAGGGTGGTCGGGACAATTCATTCGGATAAGGAGAGTCATAAAATGTTCTAGTGGCGTGAAATTAGCAATAAGTTCCACCAATTAGATCCGTATAGTGTAACTACACATGAAACAAACATTGAAAAAGCATTTCTTGCATCACAAATGGTTGTATCATTATTTTCGTTTATTTGGCAACTATCGAACTTCCTACGATCATATAGGAAGTCACATGAACACCGCTGGACACTAGCACCACCTATATGAACCTTCACGAACCAAAATCAGTGTTTAATATGTTTTTATTGTAGCATAAAAATTATTCCACATTGAAACTTTTATTAGGTATATCTACCTGTCAGATACTATCGTTCATAATGGAATAGTTGATAACACAAATGCTCAACGCGTTGATTACATAAAATTAGCTTTTATTATCAACTGGTTGAAAAGCTGCGCCGGTTTCTTTTGATGTTATTCATTATGATGGTAGTTCAATTATTTTGAATTCAAATATATGGAAATTTGGTCGGGTGTTGCCGTGAATGCAGAGTGGCAGCAAGTATCGCGCTGCTCGCGTAAATAGCAGGTAAAAATTAAAGGAATGTCTACGTGCTCGCCGTGAAGGCACCTGTTATGTGATCACGGTGTAATGCGTTTGCCGTTTGCATTTTGTTGAACAAACAACCTTGCAAATAATTATTTATATAATAATTTCCTGAGCGCCGCCGACCTGCTGAATGAAGTTATGTATTGAATGTTTTCATTCAGCATTTCGCGCTTGCGTTTAGCATTCAATCCCCGCTGTGCATGTGGAATGTCGCCTTTTTGTTTCTGCTATTCCTCATGTTCCGATATTTTTCATGAAACTGTTTGCGCGTGTGTGTGTGTGTGTGGTTGCGAACACTTTCAATGCGATTGCGGATTTTAATATGCCGCACACTTGGTTAGTGAGTGCGTTGTGTGAATGTGCAGTGGATGTGTTTGCGCGATGCGGCCGCAGCTTGGGTACGATCGTGAGCGAACCAGCCGATGGGCATGAATGAACTGTTGAACGTTGCGGAAGTCGTACGGAAATACGTCAACCGGAACCGGATCCTATTTATACGATTATGCGATTACCAAGCGGAGGATGAATGAATGAAGTATGAAACGCGGGCACGTTTCGCATGTGGTCGCCGAGTGCCTGTCTATAGCGAGATGCTTTTTTATGATTTGATATTACATGGTATTACATATTATTATAGCATCGTTAAACATGTGCATTATTTTATATTTCAGGGATTACACGGCGGATTGTAGTGTTTGCCGCCTAGTTCCACCTTTTAACACTCTTTTTCATAGAGGGCGCTAGTCGTTGATATTCGGCTGTCAATCGTTTCAACGTTCGTTGTCTCTTGTCCGTAGCTAGTGCAATAATAAGATAACCGTGAACAGTTAAAGCAATATTCGAGACCAAAAACCAGTGTAAGATTTCGTGCAAAATAACCTCCAATGGCCTCATCAGTTGAAGTACTTCCAATAATCACGGTAAGTTGTTAATTCATGTTGTATTAAGAATTATCGCCACATCGTAATGCCTAATATCCTTATCGGTGTTCCGCATTCTCACGACAAACTTAAATAAAAGAACACCCGATGGCTTCCAAAGTGCGATTATGTCAATCAAGTGTACAAATCACTTAAAAATACACGAGTAGCGACGGTTTTCAGCATTCGCCAAGACATTGTTAAGCAAGCGGTGCATAAATTAACGAAGCCATGTACAGCTTTTATTCGTAATTAAAACGCATTGTGTCGAACACGGTGGAACGAAACAATTCATCAATTTTCGAGCCAAGCGACGAAACGCTGAACACCCGGGCGCAGTTCAACACATCGGGCGTCTTTGCATTACGTTTTATTTAAAGGTGTTAAAAGTACTCACGAATAATTAGCACTCGTTGTTTTTTCGATGTTTTATTCTCGGTTCCTCGAGTACTGCCCAGTATGTACACAATATGTAAAGTAGGTACATGTATAGACAACAACCGCTGTACGAGTAGAAAAGGAGGCACAGCGATAGACTCGTGATATACTTTTAATTACCAAATGCACTCACTCCGTTCAAACGTTTTCGACATTTCAACATTTATAGCGCGCAGGTCGTGGCACCACGTCTCTTTTTTCACTTTATTTCCCCTCCGACAATAAATACACTGAGCGCCTTCAATGTGCTTCGATAATAAGTAGTTTTCTATGTACTCGAACGGATACGTACTCGTGGCAGGAAGATATCAACAGCAGATAGCATGTTATTCGTATTGCTCGCGTATTAGCATACTCCGCGTTTTACAACAAGCAGGAAAAAAATTAAGATGTTTTAACATGTTTGTCAGTGTTTTATATTCACAATATTACCTTCTTTTAATCATCCATAACTCCATTTTGTTTGAAATGTAGGCTGGGAAATTACAAGGAACTAGGCTGTCCGAGGGTGGGGCCACTGCGGAAAATTCACTAATGCGCATTTTAATTCACGCATGCTTTATTTATACAACTTGCTAAAACACGCCCATCATAACACACAACCAGTGCAGTGCAATTTTTTTCAAAACAATACCTACCAGTAAAATAGTAGTGATGATTCGATTTTATTCATGCTGGTATCTTTGGCCCTATAGTTAAATTCTTTTTTCAAGCAACACAAAATACTTGTCTTATATACCTTCACGTCCATCTTGACGAAGACAAAGCGTATAATAAAATAAAAGAATCAAGATTATTATTATCCTGTTCCGCACGCGAAACAATCAAGTCGTAAAAACATAATGCGTCGATTTCGGAGTATCTTCACGTGAGGTAACATGAACTGTTCATTGAGCCGATAAATAGTGCATGCAAAAATCATGCTCTAGGATTAGGTACAACAATTAGATATTGTTGAACTAGTCCAATATAGTCGAAAATTATAGGGTATTATAAGCCATTACGACGATCCTTAAAATTGGTAACACTGTTTTAGAAAATGCTAGGTTAGTACAGTTGGCATGTATTTGCATATCGTCTGGGTTTAAAGAGACCCTCAAAGGTTCAATAGCACTCGTGTGTATTTATTGAGAAATAACGGAAATGTGATATTTGAATTTAAATGTTTTACTAAGTAATTAAACGTGACAAGTATGTACCTACGGTATTTTTTATTTCTTTTGGTTTTGTCGCTAGAAGTACATAATTAAATTTATCATGACAAGTAACTGGACACTCAGATACAACATTTTATTGAAGCGATAAGTAGGATAAATACGTACTAGATTTTTGACAGAAAGCAATTTTGTTTAAATTGAATTTGATAACTAGAAATTAAAAAGATTTATCCAGGGGGCGCGATTTTAACTAAATTATGTTGCAATATGGTGGAGGAGCCGGTAAAACATAGTGTATTGTATCTCAAAAAAACTTAAAATTTTTAATTCTAGCGTTATTTCGTTTGGGAATTAATTTTCTCAAAAGAAAATAGACAAAATTTAAAAATATCAATATGCGAGTATTGGCTGTGGTGGATATGGATACCCCAATAAAAAAAACTAACGGACAGGTGCTTTTCTTGCAAAAATACTAATAACTAATCGTAATCTAAGTAAAAATACCCAAATATTCAATTATTGTCAAATATATTATAATTCACACATGCTTTACGACCCAGCACTGTTTGGCGGGGTGCGTTCGGACTCACGGGCCACAAGTCGCGCGCTAGCACGATTATACACTTCTTGTTCTTGCGCGCTCTGCGTTCCCTAGTCGGACTGCACGCTTGTCCCTACCAAAGAATCGCTGCTACGGCCGCGAGTAGTCGGAGTAGTCCGACTCCGATAGTTTCGTACTTACTTGCATGTCGGATCACCGACGTATCCACGCAGTCGGTTACTAACGTTTGCCTCGGCAGCATACGAGGCGGACGCACCATCGTCGCCGTGCGCAATCGTTCGCACACATTTTCACTACTTGCACCACAAGCGTTAGAAAATTAATTTGTCGTCCCAGCTTACAGCCAGACGGCCATCCATGAGCAGGCAGAGGCGACACTGTTCTTCAGCTCGCGCACGAACATAGTGGATTACCGAACTTTTCGATTATGATAAGTGACATTCATTTATTAAGTGACTCAGTGAGTTTCTCGACCGAGGAACACTCGCCCAACAGAGCGCCTGCTTGGAATTGGAACTTGATTGATTTTACCCCGTCCAGATTATGTGAGTGTATATTTTGATTTAGATCTTGAACTCTTGCAGAGTTCGATTTCGTTGTTTGCAACACAGGACTTTTAAGCACTTTAGCGCTTCCAATTGAGGCTTACGGACAAAATGTAATAAAATCGACGTATTTCGTTATGGCGGCGTTGTTTCGGAGTTTTAATTAGGAGTAATTGAATGTCTAATTCTAATTTGAGATTAAATAACCCAAAACGTACAATTTCGAGCTGCCGTAATGCATTGTAATTTATTTCGTAATGGCACACTCGCCTTAACTTCCATATAATTAAGTGGCGAGAAAAAAGACCAACAAAGCAGTGAGGAGTCAGTCGAAGACCGATGATTCGCTTTGCTTGGCACGACGCGAACGCTTCAAAGTCAACCTATGGTTCGGCTCAAATATAGTTTTAATTTGTTACCATTTTACTAATTTGCTATAAGGGCTTTAAAACGCAATGAATAATAATCGGATGCAGAAATCAGTGTGTGAAAGGCAACGGGCGCATGAATAGGAAGAGTCGCGTGTTTCTGAAACTATGATAAAATCGATGTTGGGACTTTTCGAAATGTTCAAAGTCGAAACATTTTCCCAGAATACTTGTTTCCATTTTTATCTTCTTGTTTTCTGGGAAGGACAGTTTTATCAAAAAGTCGCCTAGTCACTTACTTCGTGATGATTTATGTGGGGAATTTGTGCTTGAGGCCGAGCAAAATTAATATTCGATAGGCATCTAGTCGCTGGTGTGACAGGACATTCTTTTTTTCGCAATTTACTTAAAAGTTTACGATCGCGATTTGTGGAATCGTTTAATACTTTTTTAACACTTAAAAGTTTTACAACTCCGAGTGTTTTTTGTTATGTGTTTTCCGATTGTCATGCAGTTACACAGCGCATAATTTCCGCGAAGTGTTGTTTATTTATTTTTGGAAGACTCGTCAAAAATAGACTGGCGCACGCAAATTTGAAAGTTCCATTCCGTGTCATAATATTTAAATACGTCTTGGTGAGCAATTACGTCCGTATATCTAAATTTTGCGCAATTGTCGGCGTTTGGCGAATTCCGGAAAGCTGAGTGTTGCTTCTGCTTGCCCGCCGACCGTTTGTCTGCTTCTTCGGCGGCGACCGGGACCCAATTCGTAGCCAACACTGTCGTACGCTTTGTGGGGTCGTTACCGTGTCGGCATGTGCGCTTGAGCAACCATCCGTACCTTGGTCTTGAGCTCCGCGAGTCTGATATCCTGGGCCTAGCCGCTGAGCCCATCCAACCATCGTGTCTTCATCGCGAGAAGTCGCGTTAACAACAATTGAAAGCTCGAACTCTTCGAAACCTCGGAACACGGACGTTTATAATATGGCCCAAAATTAAGTGGACACGATACTGTCATGTGAGAAAAAAGCGCTCCGTAATCACATGAGTTTAACCCTGTGCTTATTTACAGTGTTGTTATTTTTTCCTAATATAGTTGTTTTATCTATATTGTCAGTCCCAAATTAGTTTCCTGTACGAACCTAACAAAATTGTGCACGCTTCAACTAATACGACTAATTTACTTCGTGCATTTATGTTTCACCCAAAACTGACTTGTTAGTGTGAAAAGACTTTTTGCATGCATTATGAAAAGGAATTGTTACATGAATGTCCCTTTTATTCGTAATAATGAATGTGATTCTCATAAAAAAATGGTACCTGCATATTATATTTTACATCAATTGTGGAAACACGCACAGTGTTTAGAAATTACCGAAATTTCCGTGAGAGTTCACTCGGTATTCTGTGTATAATACAATTTTTACATTTGATAACTTTGTGCCAACAAAAAAAGGATGTTAGACAACAATGCAACCAGTCAAGCGAAAATTTGCTGATGTACGCCGCGATTACAGACTGCAAGATCAGTTCATGTTTCGATATTCGCATAATGCTTATGCAAATCCAAGGTATGACTTTGCAGCTTTTGTATTTTTCCTAGCACGTTTCACTGACAATATCTGATGGAAATACGTGAAATAAATGTTTCAACGATTTGTAAAGCTAGCCTGTTTCCAATTTGGCTAATAAGTTGTCTTAACATTTGTCTGGAATGTATTTACACGTATTTCTAACTAAAGGAAAAGCAATTTTTTTTGTTGACATGATTGCATTCCAAAAAGTTCTAGTTACGACAATTTCTCGGCTGCTTGCGCACGATAGTGTCGGCCTGGCAGTGATACTGGCTGCATTAATAATGTAAGCACTAGAAAAGACGATTCCACGAATGGACAAAATTTCATCAATTTTAAGCGATTCCCAGAAAAAATCCCTATTTCGTTCTAGTTTCTAATTTTTCTAATTTCGTTGCTTTTATCGTCGGTTTTTATTTGTTTGTGTCCGCCCTGATGCGTGTGCATTTCACGTTACACATTAATGACAGAAATAACAATGCTCTGTTGTCACTGTTTTGTCTGCGCGCGGTGCGTGCCCATCCGAAAATAAAATAAAATACCTCTCGTTCTCTGGCTCGCCGACCGTAGAAGCGAGGCATTTGTTGGAATTAAACGTTAATTAAACACGTTAAGGGCGGTTAGGTTCTCGATCTAATGATAGTCGTTATTATTTTACGTGTGCCGTAATTGAATACTCTGAACATGCCGATGGACGTGGTGACATGGCGACGTGATACTTCCGGCGAGGTCATTTTTTGATCGGAGTCGCAATCTTTGATATGTATTTTTTTAGAATTCTGAATTTATGATTGCCTCATGGGTATATTCAGTGTCTCGCGCGTTTGCAAAACATGCTTTTTTTTCCACTGACGGTCGTCACCAGACGGATATTTAAATGCAAAGCGACGGATTTGCGACTGGTTGGTTACCTAGACGAGGAATTTAGACTAAAGGCGATTATAGCATCGCCAGTCGTCTCTTCTAAATTGCCGTCCCCGCCGTCCCGAAAATAGACAATGTGACCCAGAGATGCTCAGACGGTGGACTCAGCCGGTCGGCGTTGGCTTGTTGTAAGAGCGACGTCGTCGGAAGCACATAATTTCGCCGCTGCCGAGAGGCGGCTTCAAAGGCAAAGATTGCGACGCGAATACGCAGACATTTCTATAGAGATAGAGGTGCGAGACTTGGACTTTGGCTTCCTCCTTGGCGAAATTGACACATCGCCAAACGCGCTAAATTGACCGTTTGAAAGGACGTCGCGCGTTTTCACACCCTTCACGTCACGCATTCGGTCGCCATGCATCACCTTGCAAATAAACATCACACTTTTTTCGACCAATTCAAATCTAATCATTATAATTTATCACAATTTGTGTATTTAATATTTTTTGGGCGATTACCAAAAATGGTTGGATTTGCAACTTTTTGCTAATTGAATTGTTGTTTTAAACAAAGAGGAAATTGGAAACCAATGTAGCTGTTGGCTTTGTCGCCGGCGACCAACTTTACGGTTTAAATTTTATTTCTATTATTCATTCTTGTGCATGTGGCTTTGCATTCGCGTCCAGATATGATATTACACAGTCCGACAACGAGCGGCACATATAACGTAATACGAAGCGATTATGACGCTTTTATTTGTGTTTAGTCGCCTTCGGAGTACCTTTAAAAACAATAACGAAGCATCGATTGCGGTCACGAATGGGCTTGCTTGAACGCAAAAAATACGCACAATAAAATGAGGAAATGCCATCGGTTAATTGTCGAGCTAGGTGTAATTTTTTTCCATAACGTTTATGTCTTCTTTTATGTCGTAGTTACGTTTTTCAAGGAGCAATTGCTCGTCGAAACGAGCCGGCGCAACCGGGAAAGCAATAAATCGCTGGCATATTTTTATGTTTTGATTCATATTTTATCGTCTAGCACCGACTTCATGGAAAAAGTATTTAGACACGGGTAGTTGACATTTTTTGTAACTATCTTTCAATGTTTTTTCGTCGTTATTACAACGTGTAGCGAGATATACGCAGCGGCCATTTTGTTTTCACAATCTTGTGCTTGGCAATTTTTGTTTGCATCACGACATTGGCAAATTAATACAGAAAATTATAAAGCAAACCTATTCATTTGTAGTACAAGAAGTGTTTTCGATATTCTTCAATATATTATTGACAATTTCAAGCAGTAAAACAAAATGTATTTTGCGGACATTTTATAGTCTCTCACATAGAAACAATATGTTTGCGATTGCGTAGTGGGGGAGGCGACAAGTAGAAGCAGCGCGCGCCTATCGTTGCTTTGTCGCATTTTGTTTCGTTTATCAAAAGCCAAGCGCAATTGCGACGACTGATCTTGCTTATGCTCTGGACTCTGCTCGCGCCGGCGCTCCTCTACGAGGTTTCGCACTCGTTCAAAGATTTTTAGCCGTGCAATTCTCGATATGAGTTTTAGTTCGCGTATGTCCATCCGTAAAAGTGTTTCGGACGCGCGCGGCGCGCTGCACTATCAAAGTCCGGGTTTCGTATGACTTGCAGAATGTTCTGCCGCTGTCAGAAATTAGTGAATTTTCTTGGTGCACAGTGTTTGGTGGTCTAGTGAATTACAAATTAGGGGTATATTTTGATTGTTTTAATAAGTCTTGTGAAATTAACTAATTACGCCGTTGTCGACTTGTATTTCCGTCTATTGCACTCGCTTTGTGTTTGTGGGTATGTGCTTACTTAATTCGCATGTAAAACTTATTGCGTCTTTCTTTCCGGCGCAAATGCGTCTGATTTCAAAAATATCAACATCTATATCAACTTGCCATCCTAGCTAATAACAATGATAGAAAAATATTTGGGCTATGAATTTGGACGTCATTGTTGCCACTTGCGTCATAAAAATTTCACCACATTGTATCACATTGGACAATGTTGTCGATAATTGTATCATCAACAATGATTCATGGTGACATGATTCTAATTAAGTCGTAAACTCGTTGTAATTATGAAGGAAAATGCGCAGTGCGATATATTTGTGAAGAAAAAAATTGATACCCGCCTGGACAACCGCGCGCAACAGTGTGGCACTGTCGCTTCTAATAATTCTAATAATTTTTAATCGCTACCAATAATAATAAATAATACGCAAATGAAAACGAAGAGTCGGCACGATTATAGGGGTTCGGGTCGTGTACACCGCATGCTTGAATAGCGATTAGGACGGCGGGCGAGAGTATAAACGTATTCACAGAACTGTGTTCAATTACTCGGAGATGTGGGAGACTCCGAAATTCGTCGACGACGTCAATGGTGGGGCTCGGGTGAGGAGTTGCCTTGTGCCTTCCTATGTGGATTTGTTCGTGCGTGAGCTAGGACATGCTATTTTTTATTTATATTTATTTTTCTAGCCTCGTCTGCGTCGCTGAGTGTGTTGGGTCCACCAGTCTAGACAGACTAGCGTAAATCATTCTGTGAGCTCTCCGAGTAGTCTGAATTTTAGATTTAGAACCAACTTCTCTAGATTATTTCGAAAAGGGTGCAACTGACTTTGCTGGATGAAATAATCCCGGAAATTAAAATGCCTCGGAGCTTTCGTTTATGTTTATGGCGTTTAAATGGTACTGCTAGAAATTTTATGATATTTGAGGTTCTGTGACTTATCGTATTATTTTATCTTATCTCTTGCATCTATCATACCGCCTCATATCTCCAGATTAGATAGGCTTACATTTATTCTTATTGGTTTACTAGCTCAGGTTCTCAAGTTAAAGCAATTGATAACAATTATATAAAACTAAATGGGCTGAGAAACTTCCCGTTTAAGGAAACGTGAGGCGCGCACATTCACACTTTACGCCGAGCGACGGCTGTGTCCGGACGAAAAGCACCCACAGAATCACGAATAGCGCGCTGGCGAGCAGGAGAGGATGATTGTAAAGTGAAATTCCTGTCAGTTCAACGCCACCGAGAGCCATTAAAATTCTTAAGTAATAAGCGAGATATTATTGTGGATATTTTAATGAAGTAATAACCCGATAGTTATAATTGCACAGTCTCGAACGACCGCGCAACCAGTAATGTCTGGTCATAGAGTAAGAAGTGCGGTCGACAATGCCCAATTGGAAAAATGCCTCAATCACGCGATTTAATCATTTGAAATGAGTTTATTGGGTAAAAATTTAAGCATTAGCATCAGTTGACATAACTCTTTGCATTCCTCGAACGTAAACTAGTGTGGCCTGACCGCACGGATCGATGGACAGCTGTGATAGAGGAAATTCCTTTCTAGTAAGTAATCTTTCCAGCAACGCACGACGCTCGTGCGAGCTAAGAAAAGTTGCTTCTAAACCAATTTACAATTATCTTAAACGCGCGAGCGTTTTATGCACGTGGTTCTCGTTCCTCTTCGGCCGATATATTTCCTCGTTATGATAGTTATTACCGATAATAATAAGATAATAAATTATGCTCTGTAATTTCAATTTAAGTAGTTGGAGATGTGGTTGCGTTTACCTGCAGTCGAGGTGCGGACCGCACGAGGACGTTCTGAGATTATTTGTCATTTATTAATAATCTCGCAAATACTAATAACATTTACACGTACCGAGCGTTTCCGGGTTTTGAGAGTTTATGTATCTATTATTTATCAGCGCGTCCACTTGAAAACCTCGACGCGACGCTCTTGTAGCGAGCATCAAACAGACCGCGAGCGCTCTGAGTAAAACACATATTATGATTGAATGCCTAAATGAGCATCCATTATGGAATTTCTAACTTTATTGCTTCGGACAAATCTCGCGAGATATCAATTGTCCCGGGAACGAAATAACTTTGAGAAAATGTCGGAATTAATTAAACTTACAAATATTTGTTTTTGTTTTCAGGATTTGATGAAGTTAACGTCCAGGAGATTAGAATTTGGTTGATCCAGGCCCAACATTCTCAAAGTGAGTGTTTTATCATATTTCATTTAACATTGAATAGCAGATTTTCTTTTCCAATCAAAAATTATTTGTTTTCGGAGTTCGTAATTGTTTGCTTAGTGATCACACAAAAAAGTCGAACATCGAGAATATTCGATGCGTTAATTTGAATCCCACATTTGTCTATCGCGTACGATTTGTGCAATTATGGCGGCTGGTGTTGAGCGACAGGTGGTTTCTCATTACACCCAGTGTTAATGACCTATTTAACCCCGACAGTCCTACAATATACATACGCCTAGGCGGCCTTTCTGTAACACACATGCCTATTTGTAGTCATCGCATCGTTCGAGAATGAAATGAATGAATAAAAGGCTCGTACGAGCGTGCGGTCGGGCGGTCGTAGGTTTCGTGTGTAGGTGCTTCCTTTCCTGTGCCGCTACCAAGCCATCTAGACACCTCTGTACGGATGTGTGGCTGTGAACAAAAAATTAACCAACGCATTTGACGTAATAGCGCACGCATGCGGGAAATTAAGCGCGTGTTGACGTGCGCGCTGGGGACGTCGAGGAAACCGGGGGTGTACGATATGAACGATTACGAAAACGCATGAAACTGTTATGTATAATCGTACGTTGGTAGATTCGCGCCATAAGGAGCGCGTCGCTGTGCGAGTTAGGCGCAGTTGATTTGAAATTTCTGAACAAGGCACCGGTTTATATTCTTATCGTACTCACAAAAGCTTCCTTGTTGCTATTATTATCTTGCGAATGGGTATGTGTGCGTGCGGTGTGTTTGTTGTCTAACCGTTGATGTGCAGGGTGAGAGCGGCAAACATGTAGGTAAGCAAGTTTTGCACCGGAACTACCGGTACAGTACGTACACGACGCACACATGTGCCAGATACCAGTTATCTATTCAAAATGTACTGAAGACAAATTGCAAACGCATTGTACACGGCACATAATAAAACAAAGAAACTTGAAAAATTCAAACTACGCCACAGAAATAAGCAGACCCAGTGGTACGAGGAACGACGTGTTGTATTACAGGTTTGTACACTCGAAAAAAAGTTGCAATATTATTATCGGATTATTATTGGTGCACATACTAGCAGAAATATTGGTAAGCTTTTTTAATTTTAAAATTATACGGTATAAAAATGGATGATGATTCGCGGATTTGTTCAGGAAATTGATGCGTATGAGAACAATGAGTAAGAAGTATAAATGCTTGCTAAGATTTCATATAAATTTATTAACTAGCTCGTGGGAATCACAAAGCACATGGGCTGTTTTACAATGAAACTAGATAAAGGCAACGGCAAGACTCATCACAGCAGCGTATTACAGATAAATTGTATATTTAATAAAGTTTATTGCATTGTTTATGAATGAGATGATGAGCTGTCGTCGGAATGTCATGACGCATTTTGGTGACTACTTTATAGTTCGTAGTTTACATTGATTTAATTTCTAAGACGATGGCAAATTGTAAATGTGTTCGAAATTTGGCGGGATCTTTAACATATGTGGGATTATGAATCGAATGTGCGTATGTAAATCATTAATTGCACTAATGTTGCAATACCTATGAACAGCAGGTCCAAATGGGTATAAGTACGTTTAAGAATAAACATTACGTATATGGTCATCGGAATTACATCAAGCGCCAGCCGTGTGTGGACCGACGAAGGCATTAGACCATATATGGGCCGCCTGCGTGTGATTCATGCGGCCTTTAGGGTCGGGTCTGCTTGCCTCTAACTATTTCGATCTCTCTAGAAGCCGCGCACCCACCGGCACCTACCGACCATACCATGTGAGCGGCTGAGTGCGCTGGCGGAATTCCGTGGCATGCCTACTGTCCGCAGATGACACAATTGACATAGGCTGGCTGCGAGCTCGCGTGCGAAAGAATATCAGCATTTATGATGCGATCGAAAACATAATCAACTCGAATAAATGAAGCTTTCGTGTGTCGCACCGTTGTCGCATTCTGACTCTAGTCTTGACTTTGCTTTCATAGCAATGAGGTGACACCGACCCGCGACACATACGCACACAAACATTGAAATACATGGTCGGATCGGATCATCAACGGCATGGGCTGGTTTTCGCGTGGGACTCTCGAATGCCAGTTTGTAAGTACGTGTGATTTACATTGCTTATTTACACGTTTACACCAGTTTCGATGTTTATAATCCGAAATTTCTCATTTGACTGCCGCCGACATGCGTGTGTTTCTCAATGAGAACCCGAAATAAAAAGTGTTGAATTGTTTTCGAATTTCGTTAACGTAATTGCTCTGGAATGCCATTTCCTCTTCTCATAAAACGCCATACGCTAGAATTTTGATGTCCGTACGAGCGCGCATTTCGCCCGCGGGTAATTCAAGAAGAATTTACTTAAGAAGCTAGTAGGTTGGCGGCACGACGGCTTCTGGAGTAAAAGAAGCAGAGGCGGTTTTTTAGTTGCACACGCGGCGCGTATAAATAGAGCAGCTTCCTAGCCGCGTACGTCTGACGGCAGTGAACGAAATTAAAGTAATTCGTACTAAAGTTAAACGTAAATTGAATCCGGAAATATTTCAATTTTCTAAATCCGCGCGGCAACAGGATATTTTGAAATAGATTTCGACCATTCGTGGAGTTTTGGACCATTAGCAGACGGACTTCCATTAGCAAGCGAGCTCTCTTCCCGTCGGCCGCAGCATTTGATGTCGTTTAATCAAGCGCAATTTACAGATTTTCTCGGATTTAGCTTCTTTAACCAGCAGCATTCGGCCTGCTAATTGAACGGTAAACTGCCGACTCGTCTAACGAAGTAATAATTGCGCTCAAAACGGCGTTTGATTAGTTTAGTCATACGGTTTTCTACTTTCTCGATGTATTAAATCTTGATTTCATTTTGGTCGATCAGATGTGATTTAAAATAATGAAAATCAATTGATCTAAAACCAGGCAGGCGTATTAACATCAACCCACATGATGGTAGTATCTAGTCATCTAGCGGCGGATGGTGGGTGACAAGAGCAGAAGGCGTTGTCGATGTCCCACCGCGAGGACGACGTACCGAGGCGCTAAATTTACTGGGTATGTGTGTGCCTCGACGGGCATTATGTATTCATCAAGGCGAATATGTATTAAATGCGTACTCGGAATTGGAGTTTCATTACACTTGGCTATGCTATTCACTAGTCGATTAGTTGCGTTCGGGCGTTAGACGCAGACCTTACCGAAAGCCTCTGCACCGCGAGAGTACTTACACCAGAACGGCGGGTACGTGTATCCAAGTTGAACGACCCTTAGCCAACCGGCGTAAGTATGCGCCTGTGCGCTCAGCCCGCGAATGTTTATGTTCGTGCGCACGAGTCGTGTGTGCGTGCCGAGTTTCATTCATAAATCCCTGAACATGTGGACGTACACCACGCACACACCCATGCATTCACACTACGCCCGCAACCAGACCAGACTGCGCAACCACGTTTCTTTTATCCGCATACACCCGCGCTGGACAAACAATAATACCGACAAATTAGCGAAATGCCAAACAGTGGAAATAATCAATTAACAGCAGATATAAATTTGGAGATCGTCAATATTTGTTGGTGTCTTCTCGGACTACCACCTCATTAGATCTCTGAGATGTGTTGGGTGTTTGTGTTGCTGGAACTAGTCCTTTGTTACATAACAAAACTGTTATGAATGAATTGGTGATATTTGACGTGTTTTGGTGCTGTTGGCTCCCTCGTACCGCCTTGTATTGAACGGAATGGAAATATGTTAAGTCGTGAGACTTCTTCTGTGTGGCCGCGCACGGACTCTCGAACGTACCCCAATTCCAAGAAGTTCCTCGGGGAACCTGCCGCGACGAGTATCTCTCGCCGCTGTTGTGACTGTGACCTGCCTCTCCTTCCTTCAAACACCGCCTGCGTATTGGGTACGCTGGTTGCTCCTCTGGACCGCGCTCGCATTCGTTCGGATGTGGACATGAACGAGACCGAAACCGCTGGGAACCGCATAGCTGCGGCGGCTGCATGCATGCACACACGTACATACTCCACAATTCCGCTGGTGCGAGCGTGCTAGAACATAGCAGAACACCAAAGTAAACGAGACGGAGGAGAGGCAAGAAAAAAGCCAACCGTGGGAAGATATCACACACATTCAATATTTATTACTTTAAATTTTCCATATAGAGTCTCGGTCGTTGGTCGCCGCACCGTGCTTGGTCGTTGTCGTCGTCGTGGATTGTGTAGATTATGGCATCCTTATCGCAAGCGCGCTTTGCGGAGCATGGAATGGGAGAGTCAAGCGAAACAAATTTGGCTACCGCTGAGGTCGGCTCTTGGCATATCTTACGATATGCCGATTTGCATTTTCTTTGGCATCACTTACTTCTCACTATTATTGTTTGTTTAATACCGGAGTTGACCGATGATGATGGTGTAGCACTTCGTGTACAATATGCGAATTAATTCGCGCCTAAACAATCCGAGGCGAATTTCAATGATTTTGCTGTATTTACACTACCGCGCGGCAATTAAGCAGTGCTCGCCGCCGCCTCAATGGAGTCGTAGTCTTCGCAAGTTATTAATTTATTTAACAAGGAGGAAGTCGTAAAACGCAATTAAGTTATGTTGAAAGGCGGCACGAGTACGAGGTGATTCCCAGCGCAGGATATCCGACGCTTCTTATGCACAGCAGAGTCTTCTAATTAAATTTATAATAATATTTAGTTTTTATGTAAATGCGGTAAAGGCAAACAGTGGATTTATATGAGGGTACGTAGCAAACTCATCGTTCGCCATAACGAGCAATAAATCAACTTTGTATCCATTTTGGAGGGATATGATTTATTTGAAAATTAATCATCGTTTCGTTACTTTTAAGTTACTTAATTAATGGGTAATTTTTCACTTCCGAGCGTTTTGTGGTCGGTGAGCATGCTAATATTTGCTAACTGAACGGTTAATGTCTGCTTTTTCGAATTTCAGCGGTATCAGCTGTTCTACGCGCCCAT